TCATCTCCACCTCCACCTTCCTCGAAATTGGCCAATTCTGCATGTTGTGCCAACAACCTTTTCTGTTGCTCCTGCAACTGTTCATACACTCTCCTTGAAGAAGACATTGTAATAAGAACTCAAGATTTGAAAACGATGAACAAGGATTCTGAGCTAAAAAGAAGGATTGAGTTTGGTGTGAGGATGGATGTAGGGATGTAAGGTTTATATGGACAAAAAAAGAAAGGATGAGGTTTTGGACAATGCCATGTGGCACTACGTGATTGGTTGAAAAGCTTATCGAAATCTTGGCTAAAGTATTGTAAACCGGAGATTGGTAAAAAATCTTACCGGAAATCTATCCACAAAATAGTACGTTCGGATAATGATATATGACATGACATGATTGATTGAAAATCTTATCGAAATCTTGGCTAAATTATTGTAAAACGGAAGTGACACGTGGCGCGTCGGGATTGGTTGAAAATCTTAGCGGAAATCTATTCACAAAATAGTACGTTCGGATAATGACACGTGGCGTGACGAGATTGGTTAAAAATCCTATCCGAAATTAAAACCATTTTATTTTTTTATTCTTTTAGAAAAAATTTAAAAATATTTTAAATAGGATGGATGCCAGCGCATTTTGTAGGGGGTGGAGATCGTTTATGCCAGCGCATTTTTTTAGGGGTAGAGATGCATTGACCTATTACTGTTCACTGAAGTATATTACTGTTCACTGGATAAATGGGTTGGGTACTGACATAAAGTCTTTAGAGGTGGACTTGCTCTAAAGCACCATCTGCAAATAAATAAAGTGATTTGATAGGAGCCAAGAGACAAAAGTCTTATAAACTTTAGGTGCCTGATTAATTTTCAGATTTCACATTAAGTGCCACCAAACGCCAAGTTTTGGTTTGGAAACTTCGGATAGACCAAAAAACAGAAACCGAGAATGCGTGGAACGTGTTTTCCCCGTTCACAATACCGCAGGCAAACCAGCCCGCAAGCGTCCACAGTTTTCAACTTTTCACTGAGACCCTCCGATTTAATTTATTTATACTTCCAACCCCCAAACTTCTTTTTTTTATTTATATTTTTGGTCACCTATGAGAAATCGGGACTTTAATAGTTTTTCTTTTGCCACATCGCAATCAGGTTCCAAAATCACGCCATCGCGGCAAGAAAATGTGTGACAGCTTTATTTATTCGTAAGCATATGTTTCCACTAAATAGTAAATACAGGAGGGAATAATAATATATTTAATACATCAAAGGGAATTTTTTTATAGATTCTTTGTCACTTCAGTTAATTTTTGTGATAATATTATCTAATATTGTGCCAAAAAATGAGGTAACAGAGACTTCATAGAGGATTTCATTTTTGAGCGAGTCTCCTTAGCATTTCTCTTGAGTCGTTTCCAATTAGAGAAGAAGTCGAACCATATTAATTGGAATTCTCAATGTTTTGATACTTAAACAATAATACTACAATCTAATGATATTCATCATTACTTGTAAATGAAATGTCTTAAGTTTGAATTTTGTAAATAGCGAGTTCGATATAAATTTCTTCCTCCACTCCTTAGTATAACCATATAATTATATCAAGAAAGAAAAAAAAATGCCCCTTTGAATTTTGCTTCACTTTCCCGTTATTTACAAGTTTATCGCTTTAATTAATACAACGATAATGGGCAAGAAAGGAACATTCGGATTAATTACACATGAATCAATCGTAATTAGGTATCTAACAAATAATTTAAAATATTGCATTGTCAAGAAAAAATCGATCAAGATTTTCGGATAAATCTCAAGACATCTGAAAATATAATTTTGAAAAAGACATTTATTTTTTGTCAATTTAAAAAGACAAAGTCACACGCCAAGTCAGCAGGAGGGGCCGAAAAGAAACAAATAGTAAAAGTGGGGCGTGAAATTTTTGAAACCAAGAAATAAAGCAATCAACCAAAATCCGCGGACGCAGATTACAATTAACTGCGCCTGCTGTATGTGATGTAATCCGCTTGAGAAGCTAGGAAGGTGACTGATTTATTTATTTCCTTGTCCTCCATGAACGTGCAGCTGAAGCTCTACAACCATAAGCGGCTCTGCGTTTTCTCCTAATTCAGATTCTCTCCCCCACTTCGGCATCTGGGTAAGCTTCAAAATCTCCTCTTGCGCAGTATTTTCGATTTTATTAATTTATTTTGGTGGAAATTTGAGTTTGATTTGGTTGGTATCTCAATTTTTTTTCAAGCTGCATTTTCTCTGATTTTGTTATATCCGCCAGTATCTGATGTGTTTATTATTTTATTGGGTTTTAATCTTTGCGTGGAATCTTTTGTTGGAGTGCTTTATATTGGATGTTTCTTGAAAAATTAGAACATTAAATGGATTGGAATATCTGCATTTTACGGCAAGTTCGTAATTTTTTAGTTTTGGTGATTGGGGATGAACAGAAAGGCTAAAACTTTTGATGATACAGATAAAATTTGTGTGATTTGGGCATCTGGGTAAGTTGGAAGTCTGATTTAGAAGTTGGATTTGTTACGGATTCATCCTTTAATGCTTGTGTTTGCACTAGTAAATCTAAAATTATATGTTGGGGGAAGGGCATTTGGTTATCAACTTATCATCAAGATACTATGAAAAAAAAAAAATAAACATAGATGTATTATCTGTTTGATTATTGGGAGTTTTAACGAAAAGCCCACGATACTGTTTATTTAACGAAAAACCATATTTTTATACTAAAAGGTCAAACCTGGTACTATTTTCAAGTCCCTTTTCATTAGTTTTCCTTTTAATTTATCGGGAACGAGTGTGCCTTTGACGAAGTATCTAAAGCTATTAACTATACAACTCTGAAATCATTTGATCTTGATGTATAGCATTTGTTACATCTGTCATTTGTTGAAGGGTGTCGAGCGAAGGGCTTACTCACTTGATCGATTCTGATCTGCATCTGCATCTGATTCCGATTTATGTATGTTATTAGAAACTGAGAAGCAGTGCCTTTTACTTTTTTTTTTTGTTTTTGTATACTAAGAAGCAATGTATAAGTAGGAAATGTAGATATAGCTGATGCAGGTCATCTTTTTCCATTCCAGTTTTGTAGACTAAGAAGCAATGCATAAGTGGGAAATTCATCTTAGTTTTATTTGTACTAGGAAGAAAGTTGGGAGAAAAGAATGATATTTAGACGGGGTGGTATTCATGGAGTGTTTGTAATTTGTTTGAGTTGTTTTCATCTCTGTATAGAATTCCGAGTCTGATGACAGTAATGCTATAAGATAAACGCCGCAGGATTACAAATCTGAATCTGATGCTATTTTGACAGTACTAATTATCTGTAATTGGAACGTTCACATCGCAACCTAATAAATCTACTATGAATATGCAGTGATAACTGGAACTCCTTGAAGAGGTTGCTTGACTGCAGCAATATTTGGTGCTTTGATCCCAACGTATACTGAAAGTTCCTGTATAGGCATTTAGCGGTTCATTTTTTGGGATTCACTACAAAACAGTTTTACAATGTCGTTGTTGTCAAAGTTGCGGTGCATTACAGTGGATGTTACTGGCACATTGCTAGCTTACAAGGGGGAGCTTGGTGACTACTATTGCATGGCAGCCAAAGCTGTAGGGCTGGAATGCCCTGACTACAAAAGGGTGCATGAGGGCTTCAAATATGCATATAAAGACATGGCCACCAAGTATCCATGTTTCGGGCATGCTGCGAAAATGCCCAACATCGTATGGTGGAAAACTTGTGTCAGAGACTCCTTTATAAGGGTAAGATATTTGACATGGGTTCTCGATCTTGATCCAGTTCTCTGTGATAACTAGCTTCTCGATAACCGTTGTATGTGATGCCAATGTTTTGTGGTGCTTCTAAATAACTAACAGAACTTGTTAATCTAGAAAACTGAGAATATCATCCCCCTAATAGAATTTAGACAATAAATAGTATCAGCTAGGACTTTCCAACAAATTTTCTCGAATAATTTCCTTAATAATGAATTGTGAAATGGACATCTTTTTTTTTATAATAGGCTGGATATCATTACGATGAGGAGACATTTGAGAAAGTGTTCCGACGTATATATGCATCCTTTGGTTCCTCTGCTCCTTATTCCATCTTTCCTGACTCCCAACCCTTTCTAAGATGGGTCCATGAACAAGGTCTTAAAGTTGGAATTATTAGCAATGCAGAATACCGTTATCGAGATGTAATTCTTCCAGCCTTGGGTGTGCACCAGGTAAATTAGTTAAATCTCTGTTTCAGCGGCATTACTTGAGACATGGGTATGCAGATCCCTTAGTTTTGGTTTGCTTTCATGTCTTTCTCATCCTGATTGTATCATATCAATTGTTTTTTCAGGGAACTGATTGGGATTTTGGAGTGTTCTCTGGTATAGAAGGTGTGGAGAAACCAAATCCGAAGATTTATGAGCTTGCGCTCAAAAGGGCTGGAAATCTGTCACCGGACGAGGTTCTGCACATAGGGGACAGCATGCGCAAAGATTATGTCCCAGCAACAAGTATTGGGATGCATGCATTGTTATTGGATAGGTTCAAGACATCTGATGCCGATGAGTGGAGGAAATCTGGCGCAGTTGTCCTTCCCGACTTGGAAGCTGCAAAAGAATGGCTTACTTCACAGAAGTCAGCAAGCTGAGCTGCTGAGGGGCATTTTCGCCGGTGATGCTGCTGTTAACTTGTAATCTCTTACCCGTAATTGATGCAATTCCGTTAACTTGTACTTGGCCGGCGGTGCGTTTGTGCAATTTGTTTCTGTACCATCTGAATCAAGGCTGTAGCATTTGCAGCAAAATTACAATGGAAAAGAGATGCTTTTGGTTCAATCATTTTTGCTTCCTTTGCAAACAAGTAGCAATAATTTAAGATCTTTCTGAGGTTCAGATAGTGATGGTTAATCCGGAAATCAGTCACGTTAATAAAGCAAGCCTACAACTTTGCACTCCAACTGTCTGTGATGATTACAGGAAAAAAGGAGAGCTGGGAGCCTGAAAGTTTTGGCCACCCAAAGTGAGAACTTTACTTAATTTTCTGACACAAAATACATCACCAGATGGAGAGTTGACTCTAATTGACCCTCTTTAGCCCCCTTCAAACTTTATATTATCCCTTTTTCTTTTAATATTTCCTCATCTTTATAACCCTTAAGTTCGAATTTCTAACAGATTAGTTGGTCAAGACGGTATATCTGCCCTTACAACAAAATTTGAATTCATCCTCCATAATTTGGAATAGTTTTTAATATCGTTTTGTCAAAAAAATTAGAATGTTTTTAAGTGAAAACTATATTGAATTTTTTGGGTCGGAAGTTGTTTCAGTTTCTGACTACATTAAGAGTGGTCGTTGTCACTGGGTCGAATGGGACCAGAGGGGCCATCTACCAAGACTGCTCCATTGTTGTGGGGATAGACAAAGCTCACTTGGGTTCCTCTCAGCCTCCAACCCCTTCGCTTCTTGTCGCTCATTGCCACTTCTTCTCCCTCCCTCCCTCCTCACTCCTCCCCTTTTTATTATTCTATTGCTATCCCAGCTTTACAGGCCCCCTCCGTTCCTCCCTCTCTCTCTCTCTCTCTCTCTCCTCACCTACTGACTCCTGAGAGTTGGTGAGAGTTCTTTGGGCCCTCCTCCCAAAGCCAATGCACCAGCACGCCTACAACTAGAGACAAGCAAAGCAACCGTTTTTTGGGGTTAAAAACCTGCCATTTTTGTTCTCTGGTAAAACAAGCAACCATTTTTGAAGGTGGAGGAGAAGAACCCATCTGCATTTTTCAAATGCTTTTCACATTTCCATCCACTTTTTCAGTCATCAATGCTTCAGAGATCTGAAAGGGACTTTCCAAGCTCTTGGGTTTTCGGTAAAGTTTCAATCTTTTTCCCACCTTTTTTCATTTTTTCTGCACATTTTTTTTTAATTCAATGAGGGTTCAAATCTCCATGTTGTGACATTGCAAACCATGTTTTTGTTTATTGGGTTGTGAGAAATGCAAGTTTCAGACTCCCCAAAGAACTCTGAATCATCAGCTCATTGTTGTTGTTGTATTCCTGCTTCTGGGTTTTGTTGAATGTTAGCAATGAAATTAGGTAATCAACAAAACGATTTCGATTCGTCTTTTGAGCAAAGTTTGAGTGGAAGTTTTAGAAAGTTCACATCTGGTTTGCTACAAAATGATATGGGATTGCTGTCTCCGGGCCATAGCTCGAATGGTAGTTTTCGGAGGTCTAACTCCGTTATGTCCACACATTCCGGCGCTTCAGCTTCAAGCAAGTTTGCCTCTTCTTCCAGAAGAGTGTCCAAGGGGCTAAAGGACTATTCAAGGAAACTTGTTGACCTCGAATTGTTCACAGATTGTATTCGGGATTGGGTTTCGGAGAATTCGTGCGAAGATTCAGCAACTGGTTTTGGTCCTCCCTTTATAATCGATGAATTGCGCAAGCTTGATGTGGCATTGGAGGGTGTTTTGTTTCAGCAACTTGTCCGGATGCCATGCTCACCTTATGTTTCCGGTGATCCAAATGAAGACGAATATCTTGCGTTGGAAGACTTCCTTCATGCTGTAGTGAGTGGTTTGTGGCATGCATTTTGGCATAAAAGAGGTGAGCTTCCGCTATTTGTATCTTGTCCGCGTTCTCTTGGATCCAAGTTTTATAGTGTAGAGAAGGCGATTTCAAGGGGAGGGCTTAGAAAGCTCTGTGGTTTAGCATTGATATCGAAAATTGGGAGTGATCAGCAAGTCCAATGGGATCAAATCATGGAGTTTGCCCTGTTTAAACCTGATATATTGTCCGGAAATGAGTTGAAATTATCAGCTTCCGTTGTCTGTGAAGCCCTCTTTTATGGTTTTCATATACTTGTTTCTAGGTGTTTGAGCAAGGTTAAAGCTACAAAGAGCAGTTTTGTTTTCCTTTTGGTTCTGGATTCTAAATACGGAGGGGTGGTTAAACTTGGAGGTGATCTTAGTAAACTCGAATTAAACTCAACTAACCCGTACAAGTCTGCGGTTGAATGGATAAAGAACCATGCTGAAGTCTCCGTTTCTCCAGTGGATCGGCTATGGAACAAATTCGGGAATGCAAATTGGGGAGACCTAGGAACTCTGCAGGTACTTTTGGCAACTTACAACGCTATTGTACAATGGAATGGGCCGCCAAGGAAGTCAATAGCTTCATTAGTCTCGAATCACAGCCTTCGCCTTCAGAAGCGTAGGATGGAGTTCTGCCTCGGCGGGAATGAGAATGGTCTGGTTCCTTACCTACAACAATCTAGTCATCAACAAGGAGAGATTGTTGAAGTTGACCAAACTAATAGTCAAGTTTTCAAACACAGTGCTTCGCGTTTAAAGCTTAATCAAGGTGAGGTTTTACTGCTGGAAGATCAACAGCAGGGGCAGAAAACTTTCCAAGTACAAGAGTCTCTGGTGGCAGGGATCCATTACCTCTATAGTGCAGTTTGTCTAGATTATCCGACACAGTTGTTGACTTTATACATTGGCGCGCATCCGACCAAACTTGAACCTTGTTGGGAGGACATGAGTCTTTGGTACCAAGTGCAGAGGCAAACAAAAGTGCTAAATATCTTCAAGCATCAGGGAATTACAAGCAAATATTTGCCGGAAATGATTGCCTCTGGGAGGATTTTACATTCTGGCCCCTGCAAGAAGCAGACCCCCGGGGGTCGATGTGATCATCCGTTGTGTGGGACGCCAATACTAGTGACATCTCCAGTTGGTGAACCTGTTTCATATGTTGTTTCTCAAGATGGACCCCTTTCCCCCAAGGAGGCAATTCGCTGCTGCAGAGACTGCCTAGCTGCTCTAAGAAGTGCCACAATGGCAAATGTCCAACATGGTGATATTTGTCCGGAAAACATAATTCGTGTCGTTGACGAACAAGGTTCAAGAAACAGTGGTTTCTACGTTCCAATATCATGGGGCCGCGCAGTTTTGGAAGACCGGGACAGTCCAGCTATAAACCTACACTTCTCCTCATCTCATGCACTTCAGCATGGGAAACTTTGTCCATCATCAGACGCCGAAAGCCTTGTTTACCTTATGTTGTTCGTAAGCGGGGGAACAATGCAGCAGCAGGACTCAATCGAATCTGCCTTGCAATGGAGGGAGACAAGCTGGGCAAAGCGTTCGATCCAACAACAGCTGGGTGAGGTTTCACCACTCCTCAAGGCATTTGCTGACTACGTGGACAGTCTCTCTGGAACACCATATCCTGTGGACTATGGCATATGGTTGAAGAGATTCAGCAGGGCCGTGGACGGCGTGGGAGATAGGGGTAAAATGATCGAAGAAGTGGCGGTAACGTTGAGATTGAAGGACGTTGCTGAGTCCTCAGGAACATCTGGAGGATCCTAGTGTTTTTTGGAGGGAGTGTTTGGTTTTGTAATTACATTTGGTGAGAGGAGAATCAACTGCATTTTGTGTTAGGGGCTCTCCGGGACGTCTGAGATTTTTACTGATTGGTGTCGTGCATGGCACTGTGATTGGGATGGACTGAGTGCAATGTATCTGACTTGTTTTTGTGTTCATAAGTTCTTGTTTTGTCTTTGGATATGAGATTCTGGTCTGTTTCCGTTGGAAAAAGGGTAATAAAGTAATTGGGCACGTATAAGAAGTAAGAAATAAATAAGTGGCTTTTTAGCTAAAATGGTATTTGAGATTTGCGTAACTCCTCACTTTGGTCTTTGAGATTTGAAATTAATAGAAGTGGTCTTTGACTTTAATCACCATCAATCATTTCGGTCATTTCTTTAAAAATCTTCATTAAATAAGGATAAAATGACAAAAATACCCTCAATTTTTGTCAAATTATTTTGGCCTATTGTTTATTAAATTGAGGGTATTTTTGTTATTTGATCCTTATTTAACATTATTTTTCAAAGAAAGACCAAAACGATTTATGGTGGACAAACTCAATGACCACTTCCATTGATTTCAAATCTTAGGGACCAAAATGATGAGTTATGCAAATTTCATGAACCATGTTAGTTAAAAAGCCTAAATGAGTGATGTGCCATTTAACAAGGTTCATTTAGCAAAACAACACTTTTTAATATCTACCCAAAAAAAAGCAACAATTTTGTTAGTAAGAAATGGGAAATTTTTCGAATTTGCACCAGAAAATTTATCCAATTTTCAACTTGTCGCATGAATTTTCATTATTTGATTTATAAATGATATTCTTTACTAATTTATTTAAGGGGAGAACTTGAATTTGAGTAATGAAGTTAAAATTCTAACCACCAGTTCACTCCACTACTTGCATCACTTGAATTACTCAATTAGTTTCAAATTTTCGATAAGTCATACGTGTTGCATATGATTTATCTTTTTACGTGAAATTCAATCACGGTAACCATAGGTGGCAAATTACACGTAACTATCTATTCATGTGACACCTCTGCTGCAATATTTTGTCAAATAGAAATTTGAGAATTTCTGTCTTCATTATTTTCCCCTTTCACTAGTAAAACTAAACCATGAAATGACCATTTTAGCTTCATCATACTCCGAACCAGCATCATCTAGCATCCAGTACCCAATCGAACCACCAAAACCCAAAACCCCTGATCTATGTTGCACGGACGCTCCGCAATTTCGAAGTATCAAAGTGTCGGACCCTCGATAGACGAACACATTCTAGACACGGTTTGGACAGATCAACGATTTCGACACAATCAAAACACAGCTACACACGACAAGGCATTTTGAGGCAATTTTGTTTTTTTGAACATGTATTGAGGTTTTTGTTATTGTCGTATTCCGAGAAAGTTTGGGGAATATAATGACTTGTTTACTATGTTAGTTTTCAACATTTTGTTCAGGATATTCTTTTTGTTTTCGATTCGCTGCCGTCGAATCTAAGAATTTCTTACCAATCTAGTCGTGTTAGGTGACATGAAGTTCGCCAACTAGTTTGCTTTTGAAGCATCAAACTTGACTTTTCTGGTTTGCTGTTGTCACGCGACTGCCTTCAATTATTCATAGTGAGGCTGAGGTTGTGTGTGCTCCATGAAGGGACCCGGCTTCTTTGCCTTCCCATTTTCTATACACTTTCATTTCTTTTTATTTTGTACAGTCACGGTTAAGTCACGTTAATATTTTATATTAATTTTTTTTATAGAGATAATAAGACAAAAAACAATAGTAATATAAAAAGTTGACGTGGCTTAATTGTGACTGCACAAATAGGAAGAGATGAGAGTATATGGAAAGTGGGAGGGTAGAGAAGTCAGGTCCTCCATGCAGAGCTCTTGACTTTTACATTGTTGGGTACAATCGATTGTATGAACAACGAAAAATCGAATTTAAAGTCTTATGTATGATGATAAATTATCGTAACCACTTGAACTACGAAACCCAATGGCGAAGCCAGGATTTCTCGGGGGGAGGGGCGAGGTTAAAGAAAAATGGCAACAACTAAATCTTTTTATATAGTAATGTCTTTCATAATTAATCAATACAAACAAATTACAATTGTTGCCGGCGAGGTTTCATGTCATGAAAACGTCGCATAATAGGCTCATTATCAATAAAAGAAAATACATCTCTCTCAATGTAAATAATCATATGCTATCACTCAACCATTGATCTCTCATTTTGTTACACAATGGTGTTTTCACATCTCTTTCAATGTAAACAACCATGCTATCACTCTTAATCCTAGAGTAGACTATACTATAGTATGCATAATAACTAATTCAACCAACAATTCAATTAATCAATACCAATAAGCATACAAATTATTCGATAAATAAAAATTCAATTCAACTAATCATATGAATAATTGTATACATAATACATTATGTAATACTAATAATTCAATTAATTAATCAATAATGGAGAATTCAAATTTTAATTTTTACCCTAAAAAATAATTTCATAATTTCATATCAATAATCAATAACCAATAACCATATTAGTGCATTGAGTGCTTTACTATATAATTCTATTCTATACCAATTAAACAAAATTCATTTTAAATAATTAATTAGGGTTAGGGATTATAAATTTGGGAATTAAAAAATTTACCTAAATAGTGGGTTTGATAGTTGGAATCTGGGCCCTGGCACTGCTGCTGCTGAGTGCTGAATGCTGATTGGTTGTTGCCAAACGGATAGGCAGCGCTTGTTCCGTGTGCTGTTCCGTTTTCTGCCTTTGATGCAAAGCAAAGCAGCAAACGGGAAAGGGCAGGGAAAACGACAGCACGAGAGAGAGATGAAGTGATATAATGAATGGGGGACTCGCGGTCCCCCCATATAACTTTTTTTTTTCTTCCAACTTATCAAAACGGGCCGTTTCATTTTTTCTTTTTTTTTTTTTGTAATTTTTTTTTTACCCAAACGACGTCGTTTGGCGTGGTTGTGTTGAAAAAAAAAAGCAATCAATTTAGTCAGCTCTGCAAGTGCAGAGCAGAACACCGGAGAGGAGAGTCGGAGACAAAGAGCAGTGGCAGGGGAGGGGCAAAACCAGCGCTCTAGGCTTGTTTTTCCGGCTAGGGGAGTGGCGGACGCCACTCCTCGCCCTCACGTGAAACCCTTGCATAACTGTTTAGTTGAAGTGACTCAAAGGTTGCAGACAATATAGTAGTCCAGGGGCGTGGGCTGGTTTTGTCGGATTGTTTATTGTGAATGACTTGTCATATTTATGCGGTCTGTTCTGAAAACTGCAACTCGGCTTGAATAATGTTTGCGTTATTGTCATTTACCTTTAGTCTGCAGATTCCACTGCTTGAGCGGTCTTGTTTATCTTATCTACCATAAAATAATAGAGATACTGCCGTTTATAAGAGTATTTATTTTCACTTATAAGTTAAAATTTTAGGTTCGATTCTAATAAAAAGTTTATAGCTAGTTTGGAAGTTTTTTTAATATGATTAAAAGTGTTTTTTTGATGAAAATATTTTTGAAATCAATTTTTAATAATCAAAGTGAATTCGAAAGACGCATTTAAAGTGCTTTTTGTAAAAAGTATACATATGATGGTTTTTTCGAAAAACATTATAGGTGATTTTGAAACCCAAAATTAATTTTCACAAAAGCAGTTTTTGTCGTTTTAAATACACTTATTCGAATCAAATTATTATAATTTTTTCACTACGATAGTAAATAATAATAATGGGTCATGATTTTGACGCTTTGAGCTTCATGGACCTCTTTTAACTTATAAGGAAAGAATTGGCATGGGAAAGTTGGAGTGAGGAGAGGATCCGACGATCCTTTAATCACATATGTTCATCTTATATCGTGCGATTAATTTTTATCAAGTATTGTTTATATTTAATTTTAAATAAAGGAATTTACAATAATTTATAACCGCATGATGTACGATGAACGGATGTGATTAAGAATTTCCGAAATCCTCACAAAGAGGATCCGGATCCTCACTCGGAAAGTTGTTGACAAGATTCCAAATCTTGTGACTGGATCACATATATTCTATCATTTCACACTGACCTTCAATACGTTAAACAGAACTCAAAAGTATCTAGCATTCCACAGTGCCTTGAGTATTAAGCAAATTACAAGGGACGAGAGAGTGATGGGTTCCATGGAAGCAGTGGGTGAAGATGTCCAGCCGAGAAGTTACTGGAGATGCAGCAAACAAGATTTCCTGCCCGAAGAATCCTTTCAGAATTGGAGCACATACGGAGCGGCCCTGTCACAAACAGGCCACAGGTTCAAGAACCGTCTCCTCAGCAGATCGAATGACAACGATGAGATTCGGGAGCTTCGGAAGCAAAGCGAGAACGACATGAAGCGCTGCCTCACGTGGTGGGATCTCATCTGGTTCGGGTTTGGTTCGGTCATTGGTGCAGGCATCTTTGTGCTTACTGGCCAAGAAACTCATAAGCATGCTGGACCGGCTATTGTCTTGTCCTACGTTGCGTCTGGTATCTCGGCAATGCTCTCTGTCTTCTGCTACACAGAGTTTTCGGTAGAAGTCCCGGTGGCTGGCGGAGCCTTTGCTTACCTGCGGATAGAACTGGGGGACTTTGTTGCATTCATAACAGCAGGAAACATACTTCTAGAGAGCATTGTCGGAAGTGCAGCAGTTGCTAGAGCATGGACTTCTTACTTCACAACGCTCTTGAATCGTCCTTCCAACTCGCTACGCATCCACACAAATCTGGCGGAGGGGTTCAATCTGCTGGACCCGATAGCCGTCGCTGTACTAGCAATAGCTGCAACAATTGCAATGATCAGCACAAGGAAGACCTCTTACTTGAACTGGATAGCATCTGCAGTCAATAACGTTATAATTTTGTTTGTGATAGTTGCAGCGTTTGTCCACGCCAAGCCGTCGAATTTGAAGCCCTTTTTTCCCTTTGGGGCCAAAGGAGTCTTTCAGGCAGCTGCAATTGTTTACTTTGCTTATGGAGGATTTGACAATATCGCCACCATGGCTGAAGAAACAAAAAATCCATCCAGAGACATACCGCTGGGATTGCTTGGATCAATGACAATCATCACCGTCGTATACTGTTTAATGGCACTTTCACTGCCTATGATGCAGAAATACACAGATATAGACCCAAATGCAGCCTACTCTGTGGCATTTCAAAGCGTTGGCATGACATGGGC